ACTCCAAAAAAAGTATGGCTTCTTTGCAGAACCCTTAGAGATAGTGACGCATGAGAGGTTGGAGTCCAAAGTGAGGAGCAGAGTACGTGAGAGGGAGTTCTTCCAGTGTTTTGAAGCCGCTCAAGCGAAGCCAACGCTGCTGGTGTACAGTAAAAACAAGCAACTAATCGCGGCTGAAACCCTGCTTTATGACAACAGCTTGGGCAGCCGCCTTCTGTTTGAGGCGCGAGCGGGCGCTTTACGAACTCTGGTATACCGGAAGCGGTTTGACCCCAAGGCGGTTTCCACGATGTGCCGCGCGTGCAGAGAAGAACCTGAGACAGTTGAACACCTAGTGCTCTACTGTGAGTGCCTGCTGCCAACGCCACTGGTAGATCGCCGGCTTCACTCTGAGGCAATGCTAGCATATGCACTGGGTTTTAAAACGACGGCTGACTCAGACAACCCCTACACGGGTGGAGCCACTGATCTCTATGACAATTGCTGGATCGCGCTTCCCCGCTTGTTCGCTGCAGCGCAAGTGAAGCCACCGGGCTTCACTCGCTTGGGATACGATTTGCCGTTTTTGCTAGCCTTTGCTGCGGTTTTCCAGCGTGCTGACGACACGTTTTCTACTCGTTCGTCGTCATTCGCCGAAGAAGTTTTTTGAAGACTCTGTGTATGTTGAGACTTGCCGTTGTGAACACGTGGAAAATTTTACGAAAGTGCAGTGTTGCAGGAAAAAGGCACAACGCGTCGAAAGGAAGGGCTGGCGGCGTGTTCAAAGATTCCTTGGCACGCCGAAGTGCCGTGTCTCTGTGCCTTCGCACGCTTGGATACCGACCAAGAACCGACGCCGTGTGTATGTGTTCAGCGAGTGCAATGTGCGTGAAGCTGTTCGTGCCTCTGGATCAGCGTCTTTTCCCCTCGCGGTTTAGGAACGAGCTTAATCCAGCGTCCACTAGCGACGGAAGATGGGGAGAAGGTACGTCTTTTTTTCGTCCTTAGACGATTTACACAATACCGTGCACAACAGCTCCTCATCACTGATCAGTGCTGGCTTATTATCAACCTACTTAATTGCATTTGACGTTTGAGCGCGGCTCGCCTAATTGTAATTGGTCAACAGATTGCACACGACCATATCGGCCGCGCTTCAAAGATTTTCATTCTCGCCGTCTTGTACTTTTGCTTTCGAAAACCCCCCTGGCTCCACGTACAACGTTGCCCTATTCGTGCTCCCACGAAATCTATTAGAGTAGATTTGGGACATAGCCATGGTTAATATAGTACATAAGAATACGTACGGATCTCCCCCTTTTATTGATAGCAACTCACCGGAACAGCTGGACGATCCAGAACTCCGTGGCCGATATATATAAATGATCTAAAGGCATCTACGCGCGACACACGTTCAGAACTTTGGCGCGGCGTCAATTCTTGACCGGTATCCAAGCGTGCGAAGGCACAAAGATGCATCACTCGGCGTGCCAAGGAAGCTTTGATCACGCCGCGACACCGGCGACACGTTTTCGACGAGTTGTACCTTTTGATACGGCTTCACGCACATTGCACTCGCTAAACACATTCACACGGCGTCGGTTCTTGGTCGGTATCCAAGCGCGCGAAGGCACAGAGACACGGCACTTCGGCGTGCCAAGGATACTTTGAACACGCCGCCAGCCCTTCCTTTCGACGCGTTGTGCCTTTTTCCTGCGACACTGCACTTTCGTAAAATTTTCCACGTGTTCACAACGGAAAGTCTCAACAATACACAGAGTCTTCAAAAAACTTCTTCGGCGAATGACGACGAACGAGTAGAAAACGTGTCGTCAGCACGCTGGAAAACCGCAGCAAAGGCTAGCAAAAACGGCAAATCGTATCCCAAGCGAGTGACGCCCGGTGGCTTCACTTGCGGGAGCGGCAAGCGCGATCCAGCAATTGTCATTGAGATCAGTGGGTGGAGCAGACGACCCTCCCAAGACAGGCATGACATTTCTACCATGCAGTGCGTGCGATGGAAGAAAACGCGTCTGGAACAATGGCGGAAGAAAATTTAGAGCTGATAGCTTATAGTTCTTTTTTGGCTAGGGCACGAAGGCTATTCGAGCTCGGCCGGTATAAAAGGAACAGCCGCATCATCACCATCATCATCATCATCATTTGTGTCGAAATTTCTTTGAGGGGGACACGATCCTCGGGAAACTAGCCCTTAACAGCTCCGCTGTAAAAATGGGTACAGTTTAGATTTGGAATAAGAAATGAAATTTTCAGAGAACAGCACTATACTGGAATACCACGGAAAATACACCCATATAATGAGGCAATTTATGAATTCTTAATGTATGAACATTTTTTGTTCCACCAATGAGATATCAAACATCATGTGTAAAAATACTTTTGATTGCGTTGCCGCAGTTTTTCCAATCAGAGTTTTAGGGCTGAATTTAACTGGCCCTCAATTTAATCAAGGTAAAAACTAAGGAGAAACTGAGGTAATGCTGGTGTTTCACTGCACAGGACTCAAGAAATTCGCGAACTTGAAACAAGGACGTTAGATAAAATGGGTAAGGTCATTTATTAAAAATGTGTGATGAAATATGTCGAATAATTGTAAGACACAAGGTAAAGTCATCATCTATACAGACGCATAATCAAAGTTACATCAACGGTAAGACCAAGACAATTAGCACGTCATTTCATGTCTGTACATGGGTATTTTTTTGTGCGAAGAAAATGTGAGCCATTTGTTTTAAAGGGGCACTGACACCCCAAAGGTAGTATTTTTTATTGTCTAAAACGATGCAAGTTGCAGTCATAGACATGCAAAAAAAAAAAAAAAGCGCATCGCGAAAAAAGATTTTCCCACGCGCGCGCGCGCCTTTTTATTTTTGGAGTTTGATTCTCCCGCCTCTCGCCTCCTCGCTTCTTTTGGTTCGTGACGTCAAAAATCATGAAATTTAGAAGCTTTGTAGGTGACATTTCTATAACATTTAATAACGGCAATCGTAAAACATGTCTTTAACGCAATTGCGAACGCACTACGGCCCTTCTTTTTGAAATACCAAAAATCGGAGTCCGTTGTGGTGCCGTCTCCTGGATTTGTATCCTCCCACAGAAAACAGGCGACACCGCTCAAAACCGGTACGCCGGCGCTCGCTCCTTTCCTCCTCGCTTTGGGTCGCGATGGCAACAGCAGGGAGTGGTGAAAGAAAGTGAACTCTCAGGACTCCGCAATATTTGACGTCAACGCACCGGCGCGGATCGCGCGGGAACTTTGAATTTGGCATTTGGAAATTGTTTTTTTACTTCACAAATACTGAATTCCCAAGTTTCGAATTTTGAGGGTAACGTTCAATCGTTTCGGGTAATAAAAAAGATATATAATTTTGATGTGTCAGTGCCCCTTTAAACTTTTACCGAGGAAATGATTTTTGTCTGGTGATTGTTTAATAGAAGCTTTATATGGGTCCCGTAAAATTCATTAAAAATATTTACAAGTTGCTTTCTCCGTATCGCACCAGACGAAGCGTGAGACTGAGCTTGGGTTATGGCTTGAATTGCGGATTATGAAAATAATTAGAGGAGTTCAATAGACCCTTCTGACAACCCTGTCAAATGACGTTGGCGGTTGCAATTTCTGGGGCACGAAGCCAGTGATCGGGCCCGAGTCGTGGCCGAATGTCGACTCAGCAGTCGTTCTCAGTACGATCCGAGGCGAGCTCACGTCAAGCGCATACGCAGCCATCGTGTACAATACATGACCAGAGAAAGTTCCTACACAACGGCGGGCTCGGGTAATGGACCTTTTAGGAAAGTAGCGCACGCCCTCAAGTGGTGCGCGTAAGACATTATGGGAACAGTGAGGGTCGCTGCTCCTTCGTCTGCTGCTACCGCCGTACCGCCTGCGAGAAGCACGTTGCCTGCGTTCGAGTTGGGGCCCTGTGTACGGCATCGATCGATGTGTCGCAACAATTATCCCTTAAATTTCTGGTCCTTCGGAAACGGGTGTCATGACAGGTGACGATCTTTCAGGGGGCTGTCGTCGCACCCTGGCACGCAGCCCGTCTGTGCACTGACCTTTTTTTAAATGGACCATTGTTTCGGAGGGGCCATCACGCGTGAGCCACGGGTAAAAAGAACAAGGTGTCATTCAAACATCCGTGTTTTTTTTCTTTTTTTTTAAATTTTGCTACGGGAATTAGTTTAGCCATAGCCTTCTCTATACTTACAATGCCTGGCAGTTCGACGACGGAGCCATAGAGTGCCCGGTCGCAGATTTGGAGCGCGAGGATCTGGTAGCACAGTGATCAAAGAGCCATTTCTCGGAGAACGTGGACGTCAGCGCATAGCTATTGGAGCGGTGAAGACCCGAAGCACACTTTCGGGTCCCGGCGTCTCACCGCAGCGGGGCGCCAGATACGTGGCTCTCCTCTCATCCGTTGTCTGCCGCTCCACCTTTTTTAATTCGGCGGCTGCTTCTCGTGGCAGTTTGCCAGGCTTTGCCAGTATATAGGAGGCTATATGGTTGAGCTATACTTTGTGTCAGCTTAAATACAGAGCAACCGATGCTACAAGCGCGAGTTTCGGGCTTTCAGCATCCCGGCCAAGCACACGCACTCGTGCAGTCAAGCACTGTTCAGGGCCGCACACTCGCGCTTGTAACATTGGCTGCGTCTGGACTTAAGCTGGAACGATGTATAACTGGCGCATTTTATTTTCTTACGCCAATAAACAAAAAAGCGCAACTTCTTTTAACAACGTTTGAAAACCATTAGCTCCCCTGGATGCATGAATGGATTAAGAATGGTGTTACAGTTCGGGCGGTAGTGTGCACCACATAGCATGCAAAAGCCCGACTCGGTTCGACTGGGCTCGGCTAAAGGGCGCGACGACCTCGCGGTTCACATAATTCCCCGAAGCGTTCACTTGTGGCGCTAGCGTTTCCGAAAGGGTCCATTGGCGCAGCAGCTAGTAGATGACGCGCACATTTGAAAAGGGTCTATTCACGTTCACACAATTTAGACGCAGCTCACTGGCCTGAGGTCCATCATAATCAACGTCCTAGTGCATGCGGAGCAGTCCGTCTCAAGAGGCGCGGCAGTGGTGCTTGCTCCGGCAGGCCTCAGCGTAGATGCGGTGCCGCAGCGACTCCTTCGGAAACCGCTAGGGCTCTCTCCTAAGAAGTCACTGGACATTCGCGGCAGCAGTTCCTTCAGCATGCGCAGAAGGGCAGCACGAAACTCGGAATTCCTGAACCCGTACAACAGGGGATCGACTGAGCTTCCCGACAGTCCGGCTAGGCCTAGATAAAACGGCGTCTTGGGATCAAACTCGGTGTCCGAAGCCACCTCAGCGACCATGAACACCGTCGCGGGAGTCCAGAGCAGGGCAAAACAGGCCACGGTCAGCGTGAGCGTCCAGCCGTAGTGCCTGTCCTGTGGAAGCGCCGTCCTCAGGTTGTTCTCGACCGAGTAGATGGCTCTGGCGTGCCTCCTGGCCACCACATACACGTAAACATAGCTGCTCGTCATCACTGCCAAACACGGAAGGTAGAGAGCACACAAAAGAAACAGTCTCACTGGTGTGGACACCAGTTTGAAGCTGCACGACTGCTTGGGTGGCGGTAGATGAAGCAGGGGAACACCGGACACGAGCAGCGCGTAGACCCATATGGCGATTACAGTTCTTCCAGCAGTCCTATGGGTGATGAGGTTGTTGTAGGTGAGGGGCAGGGCGAGGGACGTACACCGGTCTAGGGCCACCGCGGCGGCGCTGATCATGGCCACTCCGCTCAGCTGGATGAAGAGGCAGTAAGGCAGGAGGCACAAAACTGAGCATCGGATGTTCTGTCTGGCAAATTCAAAGTAGAGGCCCGGAGGCAGAAGAAGCCCGATGGCGAAGTCGGCCGAGAAAAGGGAGAGGAGGAAAAGGTTGCTGGGCGTTCTGAGCCGCTTGAACCGGTACATGGACAGGAGCAGCAAGGCGTTGCTGCAAAGAACCAGCGGAGAGAGGAGGAAGATGAGCAGGGCGGCCAGGGCCACCTGCGCTGGACTGTTCCATGCGCTTGGTCCAAGCAGCGAGATTTCCCAGGGCTCGGGAGACGAATTCGTCGAGTTCAGATCCATGGTACGGTCTCTGCTCGGCACGCGGTCCTGAGCATTCCTTATGCACTCAGCGAACCAGGCGTATCCCCATTCCTGGCATGTCCCTGAAAGAAAAATATAAGAACATAATTAGTGAAGCACCTGTGTAATTCAAAATCCACGCGTAAATGTGCGTGTTAACGTATGCATGGTATTTTTAAGGGTGTGTACTTAACGGCCTAGGAGTGAGGCATTTATGAGTTGGTCCTCTGTTGGGTCGCAGATTCGGCGCGTCAGTAATGGTGGAAATCGAAATTGTTCACCCAGAAATAAAGTATTGATGAAATATCTTGATACAAGAACGACAAATGCTCGAAAGTCAGTGACAAAAAAAAAAAGAAGATTCTTCTACAATTTAGTTAGAATTCGTGTCTCAAGGTTGAGCCTTTTACCAATAGATTCAGATTGCTTTGTTATATAAATAAAAGCAGATATATTTAGGTGCTTGTTATGTAGGTGTACAGGAATTCAGTGCGCCCAGCGCGACTTTACGCGTTACAAGGAAGTTGAGTTGAGCAAGTCTGAGTAATTGTAAGTTGTTACAGTAGAACGTTCTGCATACTCAGCGAGTGCTGCTGTAACACCTAAAACAACGCAAAAACTCTGCCGCATGATCAACATTTTAAATCCCATGTTAGCAGTTCTACTGCAGTGGCGAAGTTACTTCTTTAGTACGGCTGAGACACCGGAAGCCATTTTTATGATGGCCAACTTTCTCCCGTTTAAACATTCCGCCAACACCTTAAAATTTCTGTTTTTAATTAAAGACCGACCTGCAAAACTATTTTTCAGCCAGGGTGAAAGTACTTCCCGCCACCCTTTAACCTTCCGGCTTATCCAGCCCCAAGCTCCAGCAACAAAGGGAGTACCTCCACCCCCCTCCCCCTCGTAATAGGAGGAGTGTGTGAGTGCGCTCTAAAAACAGTGGGAAGGGTGGAGAGGAAAATTTTCAACCTGGTTCAAAAATATTTCTCGTGGGGAGTGGTATTAGCTTCTCAGTTGTGTAATATGTAGGCTAAGTTGTTATTTTTATCATGTATTTATATTTGACTACAAATGTGGCTCTTGACATATATTTGATCATTTTTCATTGCTAAACTAAATGGCGGCCATCAGCCCTATTTTATGCTGTCACCTAGCTTCTTCTCAGTTTTTTTTCTTTTTCGTGTAAACCTTCTTTTTTTATGCTTATATTAGTCACGTGATGCTTCTGTGTCATCGACGTTACATTTGTTATACGCTTAGAATCATGCTTGTTGTGTAACATGTGATTTTGCTAGTTGTTTTATTGTGCCGTTTTATTTTGTTTTACAATTCACAATGTTGAATGTTAAAGTAGCTGTTTCATTGTGCCTTTTTTTGTTAATTTTACTGAGTATACCAACTGCTTATTATATTCATTGCACTGTTTACTGCTGAACTGTTGGGGGCAGAAACTCTGTCAGGCTTCAAGCCTTTATCTCTGCCCCCTGGGCGGGAAAACCCGCCAAGCAAATGAAGAACTGAAAAGAACTGAATAAGAGGAAACAAACACTGAAAGTCCGTAACAACGGCGAGCATGCACAGCTGAGCCTTCTTATGGTTCCCTCTCCTGGCGTCATTACCTTGCGAACAACAAGGTAGATGACATTTGTAATTAGCGTGATGGAAGCTTGAAATCATTGCGCTCTGAAAGCTACACTGCCAGCACCGACGGAATTAGAGTTCTTACATCACTCTTATTTCTGTCGATGACCATTCTTTTGCTGACGTCATAGTCAGCATTGGGCCAATCGTGGCAGGCCGACCACAGCGACGCTTTCGATCGCTCACGTCGCCAATAGAGAGACAAACAAAAACGAACGACACCGACAAACATCAAACACGTCCAGCATACACGCGAAGATATCCTTGACGGGCTTTCTGTCACATCTGCTTGCTTCACGATCGCCGAGAGACGGCAAGCCTGTCGAATATACCTTCGAATTCACGCTGCACGTGTTTTAGGCCTGTCGGTGTTTGCTCTTTCTGCTTGTCAATCTAGTTGCACTGGGGCTCGGGCGTTAGTAACGTTCAAGTCACTGCGGCATCAACGCCGTTCATAGTGTTGATTTAGCGCTGAGATTTATGTCCCTCAACGAAATTGCGAGAACGCAATATTTGCGTCAGATCCGAGTTCTCCGAACCGCGTAGTTTATTAATAATGCGCAGCTTAAAGGTACTTTTTCGATTTCGTCGCGAACGCGAGTGTACTCATTCGCATCGCCGAAGAGCACACCACTCAGGGAGCACGTCCGCGCCAACTGTACACACTGATTCCTCCGCCGCCGTAAACAGCCGCGCCCGGTTGCTCATGGGTTGCGCGAGAGAACACTCGCGGCGATTGGAGCGGAAAAAAAATAAGAGGCGGCTGTCGCCACCATAACTTGTCGCGGCAGGGTACTCCAGGCCCGCTCGATAGAACATCTGGAGGATCCGGGAGATAATCCCGGATAATCTGCTTTCTGCACGATTGGCAGAGGGACGCGTTTCTTTCGTTCTACTTTTTTTTTTGTTTCTTCTGGTCGAACGGGTAAACCGGATGCCTGATCTGGCCCTCGAAGTTCCCTCGCTTGTTTACGCAATCTGAGCATACGAGTAAAAATGTCTCTCGTTTGCCGATCTTCTTGCACACAGATAGGTTTCGTGAAAAGGAGCGGAGGCATGCGATGCGGTCGAGAGGAAAATAGTCTTCTTTTTTTATGAGAGGAAAGAAAACGACATACTTTCAGCAGGCCGCAACTATGGTCAATGACGGCTTCATTGAGAAACGCGTTATGCTTCCTTAAGGCTTCGTGCGGTGCGATTCATTCTTCAGCATCCTTGTTGCCAAAATGGCGAATTCTCATTGGCAGTAGAGCGAGAATGGGATGTTTGGAGGATCCGGGAGGATAATCCCGGATCCTCCAAACATCTGGAGGATCCGGCAGGTCCTGACTTTTTAAAGTTGTCAGTTACTGTTAAGGTCCATATTTGTTACACACAAAACATGGACAAGACTTTAATAACTTGTAATCACGTATATTTACACTCCGATGCATACAAGATTTACATCTCTGAATCTATATTTCTGCACAAAAAAAAATATGTAAATCTGCATTTAAAAGTTGTTAGAAAAACATTAAACAACAACAGCTGCTCATACTATTTGCCGGGTTTGTGAATCAAAAAGATTGACTGCGATGAAAGGTCTGCAGAATGCGAACGGGGCTGAGGTAGCGCGTATACGCCGGACTTCAATATATAACAATTATAGTGCAAAAAAAAAAAAAAAAAGACGAATTTCGCCTGTCATCGTTTGGCCTGCTCGTGGAGTCGGGGAAGTAGAGGTTGCGCGCAAGGCGAACGTACCGTTGGATCAAGTTCAACGGTCGTTTCCCCATATTCGCTCCGTATGATCCGGCGAAATATTTGCACCATATGCGCTCCATTGTTGTGCGAAATTTTAGAAGTAATTGGTTTGGCTCAAAATTGACTCAACACATTAATAGACGTATCTGAACAAGTAACCAAACTTAAAGAAAAAAAATTAATGCGTTTCGCAAAGTTATTGAAGTAGAGAATTTTTTTCCGAGAAGCTGAGAGGCTTTACTGGGAACACTGGAAACGTGACGTCATATGTTGCAGTATAAGGTAATATGGGAGACAGGGCAATTTGTTTCCAACGTGTTACAAGGAGTTTGATGCTGTGACATAAATGCAGGTTTTGCTCACGCTAGTAAGAGAAAAAAAAAACTGCGAAATCCCATGTTTTCTTTAGACTGAATGCTCGACTTTCAAATTATACAATGTGATGTCATCCCACTGAAGAGCGCAGAAATATTTTAATGTTGGGAACGGTATCACCTTCATTTGCCTTTTTCTCAATGGCTATTTTAAATGTAGAGATATTAAATAACAGTCGGGTAAGACTAAAGCGTGGGAATTCCCAAAGAGTGCTTCGTTTGGGGAGCTAAAAATATCGCCAAAGCTTCAATTTAATAAGCTAGAAAGGTCACAAGAAAAGTTGGGATTCCTAAAAATTTAGAGGCAGAAGCCCCACTAAATCAGCCGTGTAATAAAAAAAAAACACAAAAAAAACGCGGCCTTAGTCAATGAGGATTTCCGGAGAAAACGGTAATGGTCCACGTTTCAGCAGCTTTGCCATTTGTAAGGCATCACCACAGGTTAACCATATTGGAGCTACGAAATTTGGCGTAGACGGTTTAAAACACCAACGCGAATATAGTAAACAAAAGTAGAGCTGCTAAATTAATCGAATTCAATTAATAACAAATGGCTTCAAACATCACTTTTGCTAGGAATGGCTTCCATGGTAGTTCTCGGAGGTTTCCAATTAAAGCTTCACTATGACATTATTCTGGTTTTCATTCATCTGATTGTAACACATTTCTAATTTTGAGAAGAAAAAAAACTTACTGAAGCAGCCAGATTTATACTGGTAAACACATCAATAAAAACAATTGATAAGGCGGGCAAACACGTACGAAAATGTCAGATATGGCCCTGATATATTTTGTATACGGCCTTATATGATAATATAAGCCGTCAAATTTGGCCCTATTCCGCCATATATGGGAGCAAATACGGCCGTATTTCGCCATATAAGTGAAAAAATACTGCCAGATGTGGCCATATAAATGCGTAAATACGGCCATATATCGCCATATACGCGTGCAAATATAGCCCCTGATAATGATATATGGGCCCGTTTCTGTCGTGAAAGCAACAAGTTATATGTACTCGCTAATACACTAGTTGATTGATTTCTATTGAATGAGTCTCATGTAATTGGTTAACTATTGTTAACATCCTTAACGTGAAGTTATTTCAGGTATTTGGACCAATTAACCAATTGCGCATTTTGAAGATTGAAAGACAAATGAAATTTGGTTGCATGTTTGACGTGTGACAATATGACGAAGTGCGATCGGAGCGCGAGTTAATCAAATAATGGATTTTAA